TATCCTCTCTGTGGACAGTACACCAAAGCAAAGATCTGCCTTACAAATGAGCTCCCTCTGGTTCCACTACATTAGTGTGCCATCTCGGTCAAGCACAGATACAGCAAATGTTCAGTGTGTGTATGGGACACACACACACACACTGGGATGTTTGCTGTCAACATGACCCTGTGCCTCAGCCTCCATTTTCAATATTTCAACTATTTTGTCACTTCAGCAGCTCTAATCTTTCAGGAGACTTACTCTCCCCCCTCTGTCTCCCACAGGAACGAGGTCCAGCCAGTGAGACGTCAACTCAGATTACTGATGTGGGGTGATGTGTTTTAAGTTTGTCCTTCATTACTGAGTTAAGTGACATTTTCTGACCTACACTTGCCTGCGCCTCCTAAACAATTGTCACGCCATTTTGGATAATCATTTTTTAACTTGATCTTTCCAGCCTTCCTGCAAGGACACACACAATACGTTCTCCCACAATGCACTGAGCTATCTTCGGGAGAAGTGTTTATTATTCCTGCATATGCACCCAACTGCTGACCATCTCACACACACATACACATAAATATGTATGTATACAAATATATACATATATGTCTAAATATATACACAGCTATATACATATATATGTATTCATATATGTCTACATATATACACACCTATATACATATATGTATGTATACATATATATATATATATAAAGATGGCACTGTTGCTAAGTCTTACGATAAGACACTGCTTTTACTAGCTGGATTTTCAGCGGCTACGATGAGCCATTTCCCATGTAAAAATCTCAAAGACAGGCAGGCTAACGAATCTCCAGCCACAACCAGGAATAGGTTAAACAGGCTAAAAATATTATAAACATTAATAATTCAGCTTTTTTTTTTTTTTTTTTTTGCTAACCTGTACCCCGGTGAAAAAATAGCGCACATAAAATGTCTTAATGGGCAGGACATGGAGTGGATTATTTTTGGTATTTTAAGCAGCATCTCGCCCAGTGTGAGGATGGGGTTGGGACATTTTAGTCTCATGAGCCCTCGTATCAAGGATGAAGTGTGAGCACGGCCAAGTATAACTCTGTGAAAACTCTTCAACGTTTTCATTATTTATTGGACGTTTTAATATTTTCTTCCAAACTAAGTTAAATGTCAAGAAAGACATTTAAACTGGGGTTATGTGGATTTTAACCCACGACGACTGGCATTGTATTATAATTGTTGTTTGTGAATGAAGAGTAACAATAACCTTTACTGTCATTTTATGGGTACAGACGTAAAACAAACACACAACCAAATGCATCATTTTGTGGAGTTTTTGACCGACCCAACCTACAGTGTTTCCCTGTTTTGTTGCCAACTCCAATGACTTTATTACAGAAGTCTTGTTTCATCATTCCAATGTATAGTTTCACACCGAAACGATTCAGGGACCAGAGCAGATGAATATGTTGTCACACGATGCTATATGCGGAAGACGCCTTTGTTTACATTCACATTGTGCTCATTAAATTAAATTAACTTTTTTGTGGATTTTTGGGAACTTTCTGACCTTGATTATAGCTCCATTGCATAAGTCAGCATCTTCTGATGTTTTTATGTCCTAGATTATGATGTTAACTCTGTGCTAGGTGAGTCACATAGGTAGTGATGTATCGCATGTGAGTTCTGGCTTACGGTGAAAATCGAGTTACGTCGCACCATAGGAATGGAACTATGCTGTAAGTCGAGAACCCAGGTGTGACACATAGCATTTAGTCTTTAGCTGTGAGCTAAAAAAAAACACCCTATTTGTCATTGTATGTTACACACAGGTGTGTCACAGTCAGGGTAGGTTCACCAGCTGCTTCTCAACATGCCAATTATCATCCAACATCCAAAGCGTCTTAAAGAAGCGTTGACACAAATCTGGTTATAGCTAATCGTAGAGCAATCGTAGAAAGAAACAGGAATAATAACCCACCAAAACTGACCAGACATCAAAGATTTATTATAGTAAGATCAATGTAAACAGAGCTTAACTCTGACCTCACGGAGCCTCAACCGTGGAGCTCTTTGACGGTGTTTTCACAGACCTTATACCAGTACAGACACAGAGCTTCCATGTTTAAATGTATGCAGTTTCCATTGAATATCCCGAAATACCCAACCCCACATTGCATATGGATGCAGTATGTAGCGGAGGAAATGAAATTTCACATTTCCCACTGTTGCATTGAATGTTGTTTATTCTCCAAAAGCAGGTGCAGTCTGCGGCTCCCACTCGCTTTTCAAAATACCCCGGGAAGCCAATCCCCGAGGGAGGAAGAAACCTTCTCTAAATATGTGGCTAATCTACCACGTGGAAAAAAACGACGGGAACAAAAGAGAGAAGTGTGTGTGCGTGTGTGTGTGTGTTTTCAAAGGAGCACCAAAGGAGCAACAGTGAGGCTCTGAGACATAAGGTGGAAAACTAGCAACAATGTGATGATGGGTCCAACAGTTACGTTGTTTGTTCTGTCTATTTCTGGCCTTCGTGATTCGAGTGTGTGTCCTCACACACGCACGCATATCTTTGCCTGTGTGAGTGTGTGTGTGTCTATAAGTGCAGAAAGTGTGAGGATGGGTTTCCCACAGGAGCTCTCTGATATAGCATCTCTTTACCTTGTGTACATTACTTGAATATGTCGTTAAAGCGTATACATTAGAGACTGTGTGTGTGTGTGTGGGTATGTGAAGTGCTGTCGTTTTGTAGTAACCAAGAGACTTGAAAGGTATGTTGTATAAAAAAGTAAAATACATTTAAAAAATAACTAAATTAAATTAATTTAAATTAAATTAAATAAAATGCAATAATACATTTAAACAGACTTTATGACACAATGATTATCAACATAAAACTAGTCAAATTTAACTCTTCATTTAATGTAAACCTAATGCAGTCAGCTTATAAGGTGACATTACAGTACAAGATTACAAAAAAAAAGTATTATTCTGTGTACTGCGTGTACTTCAAACCAGACCTGAAGACACACAGCTCCCCTCTGTGTTCTGTAGTCACTGTTAGTCAAAGTCTTGTCCGTGCTCATTTCAACTTCCAACACACACACACACACACAAACCCAAAGGCTAAACTCTAATGAGTTCTCCTTCCCTGACTACAAGGCCACACATCCTGCCAGCACTTATCAACGTCACGCTGCCCGCTCCGCATCCTCTTCCCATCCCCACATCGTACGTTCACGTACACAACACGTTCATGTACGAACACGGAGAAAACCCCGCTCACACGGTGCCAGCCGTCATGGAGGGGCATTCTCTTATTCAGCCTCTGTGCAGTGAGGCCAATACATAAGACTGTAGACGTGTAAAACAGGTGGGTACAAACACACACTCATCCTCTGTGTGTGTGCATGTGTGTGCGTGTACATACAGCCCAGAGGAGAAAGGCTGGATGTTTTATGGCACACTCAGGGAGGGCTTCATTTCCACACCACCACAACCACGGCCAGACTCTGCTCCTCGCCTCTTATACATCTTAATATGCCTGGACCGAGCAATTGAACATGTGCACACACGCACGCACACATTCATGCAAAGCAGCATTTGCACAAACACTGCCATCCACTCATAAAGTACACTGTTTACCGTACAGAGAAAGGCCACGGTGTGAGACGGCCAGAGAGACAGAGAGAAACGCAGGCAACGCAGAGAGGGAGAGAGGATCTGCTTAAAGTATTAACACTGCACGAGCCCACATGTGTGTGCTGAAGCATAATCTTCTCCCCGCTCTAATTGGGTTTTTAACGCCGGTGCTATTTCCATAAACCTGCCTCCTGAATCACTGCCAGCCTTTTACACTCCCCCGGATCGAGTGTGCTAATACTAGGAGTCAACGCGTGCAGCAACACACATTTCCACCAATGCTTGTCCGAGACAATCACTGTTGTACACAATGCTAGCATGACAAAAAGGCTAGGGTGGCAATTTTTTTTTTTTTTTTTTTTTTTTTTTTGTGCTTCGGCAAACAGACTTGCTGCAAAGATGGAGATTATTTCTTGGATGTGTTGGATTCGAGGAGTGGCAGTAGAAGGAAGAGGAGTTTGAGGAGGAAAAAAGAGGCCGGTCGAGGAAACAGGGAGGAGGGAGGGGCTAGTGCTAGTGAGAAGGATGGAGGATTTTGTCACGATGCTGACATGGGTGGAGTAAATCTCCCACTGACTTGTGTGGAGAGCTGTTTATATTTACAGCGCTGCAGAAACAGCAGCCGCTCTGAGCCTGAACTGTCAGGTCAGTTGTTTTGTAAACGTGAATATTGTGGAAAACTGAAAGTCACAAATTCATTTTTCCTGCATTATCACATGAAGTCACATGTCCTTATGTAATAAAAAAAGGCTGCAGCTTTCATAGTGTCGGTGGTGAAGGGTCACGGCAGGCAGCCACAGGCAGATGTTTTCTTCCCATTGTTACAAATGACTATTTGTCTGAGCATGTGGTTGACTTGCAGTCACACACACATACACACACACACACATACATCGTGGCCAAGTGCAGCACACCTGGTAAAGTGTCAAGCCTCACACTCTGTGGCCAAACTTACGTCAGCCACTCGTGCCCCCAAGGCTCCTGTCTAACCCTGAACACGGGAATCTTTATTACCAGTCTGGTTCACTTCTGTTAGAGCACACTGGTCCTCTCAGTGTACCAGGTAAACGGATTAAAGACATCCAAGAACACGGCCACCAGGATGTGAATGTGGAAAAATAATGGAGAGGAAATTGAAGAGCAAAAGAGGAAGAAATAAAATATTAGACATCAGATTCCAATGTTAATCTCATCTGTGTGACTACTTTATCTTTTTAAAACCTAATCATCTTACTCTCAGTAACACTACCATATAAACATTATATAATTTATTATTTAGTGTGTATTTAGAGTGATTGATAAATTCACATAAATTTTACAAAATAAAAATTCATGGGTTTGTCCTTTGTTCCTACAAAGAATTATATTGTTTAGATTTGATTCACTGATTTGCCTTGGTTTAAAATTGCAATAGCGGTTAAACTCAATAATAACAATCACAACATGGTTCAGACAGTCTCTCAATGTTGCCACATATACAATAATTATTTGATTTCTATATAACAGTACAGTATTTTTTTAATCATATATTTAAACAAAATGCATTTGTTTTTGCATTTTATCTCATGAGACTCTTTACAGCCAAAATACAGAAAACGCAGCACAATGTGACAGGACATAAACAGTGAGATTAAAACTTCATTATCTGATATGTGGCTACAATGTTGAGCCCTATTTTTATTCTTTTGCAGTTGTCAACACGCTACTTTAAAGTCGTGCGGTCACTGTTTGCTCGTCTGCAGCCACCTGCCCTCATTAACGTAAACTGCTCAGTGGAAACTTCCACCTCTGCTCCGTCACTCCTCAAGCCCCGCCCCCTATTCAGCACAACTGCTTCCACCTGCTGCACCCAGTATATAAACAGCTCCACTCCTTTCGCTCTGTGCCAGATTGTCATTGTTCCCGTGCAGATGTTCCAGCACTGGGCTCCTGACTGCCCTTTGACCTCTGCCTTTTCTCTGCCCCGGTAAACCCACCAGTCTTCTGTTCCTGACTACGATCTTTGCCTGTTGTTTCCTGATCACTCGTCAGCCTGTGCTAACTGCACACACCTGGTTGTGACTATGGACACATTCACTTAAAATATAAATATTAAAATATTCTCTGGAACGTCGACTTTTACAATGTGTTTTCTTGCTCTATTTATGTATTTAATAAATGTTATAATTGTTAATTATACAGATTAACAAACGTGCGCTAGCTAGCTACACGCTAGCTTGAGGAACATCACCAGGTCATGCCCAAGTTGCAGCTGTCACACAAGGTGCATTCAGGCACAATCGGAAACTTGAGAATTCCACAGTCATGGCAGTTTGTGTTGTACGATGATTTATTTATTTTGTTTTTGTTTTTTATCTTCCCTCCAGTTTTCTGAGACCCCTATGATGCCCCCTGGCTCCCACTTTGAAAACTGCTGCTCCTGAAACGACTGTATAAAAATGGATGAAGCTCCTTTTGGACAGTTAAGTACAGAGGAATTTAAACAGTAATTAAATGCTACATTATGTCAAACACTAATTGTTTCATATGAATGTTTGGGTTAAAATTGTCTCAGTGAATAAGTGGAATAACAGGGAAAATGTTGTGTTGCTGTGAAATATTCAGGGGTAAAAACATTGAAACCTCGGTGCATGGTGTAATGACATGATGAAATGTCTCTTTTAGACCGACCAGGGACATGTCGGTTTTAACAAAACCAAAACATATCAAATACCAAAAGTTCTAACGTATTTATTGAAGCCACTGTTGAAGTCAATGTTTTTCCGCAAAGAGAAAACAACTCAATATGTTGTCTCAGAAGAATCATCGGTTTACATTGCCCTCAACACGTCCGCCTTACAAACAAACAACCGACGTATCAAGTTGCCATCAAACAGTGGGGCGTCAGGAGTACAGTAGGGAGGTTTAGGCAGGAGTGGAGGTGAGATTTTTTTAATAGAATATACTGCAGAAAAATATGAAATCAGGTGCTACTCTCTTTTTGCCAATTGTGACTGGAGTTCAAAGGTGCAAACCTTCAGGTTAGTTTTTAACTAGTATTTCTACACAGTTATGGTGAGTGTGTGTGTTCGTGCACATGTGTGAGAAGAGAGGGTGGGAAGAGAACATCAGAGCAGTCTTATCTGGGAGGCCTGACACTTATCAACGTCTGCCTGTTACATTTCTATGACATGCTCGGCCTCAGAAAGAGCAGCAGAGCAGTGAAACAGAGGAGAGGCAACAAGATCTGGGCTGAACAGGACAGGGTGGGGCAAAAAAAGGAGAAGGCTGGATAAGGACTGAAAGGTGCAAGGAAAGGGTTTCAGTTCCCCATGATGACGTATGGTGACTCTGTAGTCGGTGAATCCATGTGTTTGACCACAGAAACATAAAGGATACGTGTGAAAACTGCCCCCTCCACTATTCTCTCCCCACCTTCCCATGTCTGTATCTCGTTCTATTATTGGTTGCTGAGAAAAGTGAGATAGAAAATGCCTTCTGATTTGTTCATTTGCAGGCTAGACAACATATTGTTCTTTTCACCAGAAAATATATTCCTGTTGTTTGCATTTGCATCTTTAAACGCACGTTCGTCATAAACATACGGCGCAGCTTTTTGTCTGTGCTGCTGAATCTGTCTGTACAGCTAATCCTCCTCGGTGCCGTGTTTGGTCTGGACCACGTCAGGCCGTGTCGCCTCCACTGGGAGCCACTTTCTTGCTTTTCTTCCCTCGTTTTATTGACTTAGCACTAATAGGATCCAGTAAAAACACAACTGTAAACACACACACACACACACACACACACCAAATGCATCGATAAATAAACGCCACAACGGTTGAAAATTGTCGTCGTTGCAAATGATCACAGAGAAGAGAGAAAGAAATGATTCTGCTTCAACGAATGAAGTAAAAGACATTTTCTCTTCACAAACATTTCCAAAGTGAAGCTTTTGCCCCTGAAAATAAAAGTGTCACTCTGTACCAATGCCTGAAATGTACAAGGCCCAATCCTCTGTGATCAATGCTGGCAATATTCCCTGAAGAACAGACACAGAAAGAAAGTTGAAACTAGGCCTTCAAAGGCTAAGCTATTTATTGAATTGCATTCCATATTTTCTCATCTCTGCACGAGGCCAATAAAGTCGGGCACAGATGGCACTGCAGTCCACTATAGAAAGGTAGAGGAAGAAGGAGGGGTGGCTGGCAGACAGACAGACAGACAGGCAGATAGACAGACAGACAGACAGACAGACAGACAGAGACAGTCTTACCCCTGGCAGTGTTTTCTGTTCATGGAGGGCGTTCTGTGCTTTGATGGCCGACTCTCGAGCGCAGTAGGTCAGGAACGCACAACCTGCAGATGTACAGAACATTGGAAGCTTAATCAGTATCAACATGACAAATAGTGTGTGTGTGGGGTGGGGGGGTGTAGGGAGGGGAATACGGGGGGGTCAGATATACACAAGCAGAATAGGAAGATTGGAGCAAATCTCAACAGTGGGTCAGTGCATTTGGACAAACACTCACTTACAGCACACATACTGTGGATACACACTCTTTACTGCTGTGAACAGGAGAGAGAGAGGAGAGATAAAGAAAGGTGAGGAGAGGGGAGGTGAGGGGAGCAGTTATGGAGAAATGTAGATTGAAAAGTGAGGTAATAATTTCCCCCTGACTTTCTGAATAAATGGCTTTGCTTGTGTTCTAATGAGGTTCATGTGGGTTACCATGCGTCATATTTCTGCCGCTCCGAAGACGGTTTATAAGCAGTCGCAGCATTGTGGATCTCATTCCATCAGCCAGATGCGTTCGGCAGTTAGTGATATATGAAATGTTTTTTATACAAAAACAATATTCCAATTTGTTTTCCATGTTCCATGTGAGGTCACTTTTCCTCCGCTGCCACATTTACTACTGGTTTGGTTGAATGCATGAGAATCCGCCTCTGTGCCACTTCAGTATCGTAACCCCTGCACTCTCCAATAACTTTATCAGCTCTGCTTCAAAAAGAGGCGGTGAAATGCAATGTCACCTATTGATCCCATTGACTGACCTACGACCTTGCTGCCTGTGCCTTGCTGGTCAACACTTTAAGTGTCACGTTTGTGTAGTTGCATGTCAGCACTTTTTTAGCACAAAAATGATTCAATCATGTATGGTAATCTCATCTGATTTCTCTGCAGTGCTCCTTCAGGGCGCTGGGTGCTGGTGCAGTGCACTTCAGTATGACAATGACTGTGATGTGGTCTCATCAGGGTTTAGATCTTCTAAGGTGGCTGACTGTAGCAGTGCAGTCTCCCTGCTCCAAACCCCCCAACCTAATGATTTCCAATGGCTCCTGAGCAAATCAATCCATCACTCTGTCTAAGTCCCATTCTCTTTACTGCATCAGTGTGTGAATAAACACCGAGCCCCAAAACGCCCTTATTCAGGTTTGTTTTCCTTTGTTTTGTTTTTTTTGTTTTTTTTCCCCAAATGCTAACAATAACAGCAGGAAATGTCTCAATTCCTTTTGCTTTCATTTCCTTTTCCACAGTTTCTGGTCTTCATGCTGTTGGTTGTATTGACAGATGCTGCTTGACCTTAGCGCCAAATAAGAAACGAGCATTTTTTTATGTGAATTACTAATAGCATATGCATTTGTTAGTGTGTGTGTGTGTGTGATGTGTGTGGGGCAAACAAAGAAGAAACATGAACTCCATTTATATGAGTCTGTGCTCTTTAACGTTTGGCCTAATAAGAAGTTGCAGGCCACGGGCGAAAGCTTTAACAACTCCATAATTGGAATCCAAACACGTACAAATTGACACCACTGCAATGCATACAAAGTGCAAAGTGGTGAAGGGGCGGTGGGTGGGGCTGGAGGGGTTGCATGATGAAATTGTTTGAAACACAACAAAAAGCCTCTGTAATCTGAGGCTGCTGACACAGCAGCGGGGGAAACCTTCACATTGTGCGGGAACGATCACGTGCATCTTCAGATAGTTCGGAAACAGCCTTCTCTCACGCACTGAGTTTAACTGCAAAATTAAAAAAAAAAAAAACTTTCTAACCTTCCTAACTCTCCTTTCCTGTCTCCTCCTCCCATTTTCTTCCCTAGTCTTCTTTTCACTACGGCCAACTTTTCTCAGCTTATTTCCTGCTTTATAATAATGCTATCACACTGATAAATACTCTGAATACTCAGAGTGTGAGCTACAGACGTTGTACTTCTATCTCCTGTGTGTCCAGACGCTGAAGAATTTGCAGGAGAGTAGAAAGTTGAAGACACCGACAGAAACAGAAGAAGAGCTGTTTACTCTCAGTTTTTGTCTTGATTCTAAATGTCCTGTCCAGGAAATCCTTGTACATAATTCTAACAAACATACCCCCGTCAGTAAATGATCCATCATCCAGTTTTTCCATTTGTGTAGACGGTGGGTAAGAATAGGGAGCTCAGATACAGCATCTCCAGTACAATTTAGAGTTTAATTAAGACAAAATACAATGTCCTCCTACAGATTTAATACTTAATTTTGTTTTTCTGAGCTGCACATGCAGCAGTATCACCACCATTCATAATTTGTTTTCTGCTGCTGTGAGCAGCCTCCTAATTCCCTCTGTGCAGAGCTCTGCAGGACAACAGCGTGCACCAGCATCCTCCTCTCTGGACTGTTTTGAATGCAAATCTACATGTAGGGCTTTCTCTTGTGAGGTGCACCAAATTCAGAAACCCGCTAACCGCTAATGTGTAATAACCATATAGAAAAAATGTTTATACGCAAATTTTGATTTAAAAAGACATAACAGAATTAGAGATTGTAACCTGACATATAGCTCATCAATATTAAAAAAAAAATGGAGTGTCGTCCAGTGACTGTTTAGATCAGGGGTGTCAAACGCAATTTGGTTCAGGTTGTCACATTCAGCCTGATTAGAAGTCAACTGGGCCGGACCAGTACCGGATTATTACATAATTACCAATAAATAACAATAGGTCCATGTTCCTTCCTAAGAAATTATTTTAAAATATTTATATGAAATACAACTTGACAAAACATCACCAACATAAAGACTTTTACATTTTTTTCACTTTTAAAATTTATCAAGCGGGCCAGATTGAACCCCCCAATGGGCCAATTTTTGCCCACGGGCTGTATGTTTGACACCCCTGGTTTAGAACAACGAGTAAGACTTGGGATCATATTGTAATAGTCCAGGTAAATGTTAGCTTAAATATAAAGAAATGTATATATTAATGCAATACAACATGTTCCTCTTATATAATAAACCTTTTATAAAACCTGTTAATTTTCATCTTCATCACAGGGTGATACATTTTCATTTGAATTCTGACAGTGTGATGATAAAAAATGCATTGATATTTGTTATATTTAAATAAAAACTACAACCATTTGTATCAGTGATGGCCCCAATAGGAAGGTACTGTGCCTAATTTGTAAAGTGCTGTACATCCTCAACCTTATTCTATTTATTTATTTTCTTTCTCTGCTATAAAGATGATTTATATGTTATGTTATTCGTATATATAATTGTGTCCATAAACCATCCATCCAAGGATGTTGGCTACTCGCTACTTTATTTTTAATTGTTGTCATATCTATACTTCGTAAAATTTCTTGAAGAATTCAACAAGTAAAAATAGGCAGCGACGCTCATCAGTGCGAGCAAACATACTAAAAAACATGCTAAAGTATAAATGCAGTCTTCATGTTTGAAGCAGTATCCAGCTCATTTCAGTGGCGCCCTCACACAGTCTTGTCTTCATCTCTGTGCCCCAGAGGGTCCAACCTGCCCCCAGTGTAATGAAAAGGTGTGAACTTGCCCCCACTGTGGCGTTTCCTTGGCCTACAAGTGTAAATGTAGCAGAAACTGAGCCAGTCCTGGTGCAAGTTTTGCCAGCTGCCTCACACATCATTTGCACTCTGTGGAAAATGCTATCACTGTGGGTAGATTACTTGCTTACTTCATTTACAGCCGTGAGGGGATCCGGGGAAACTAATAGCTTTTCAGTGGGGTCAGAGGCTGAAACACAAATCATCATCTGCGCTGATACAATGTGATTACCATTTTGAATCAGTGCCAAGAAGGAAAGGCAGTGGGCTGAGTTACAAAAGACTGACTGACCGTAGAGCGCGAGACAACGCGAAGACCTGGCACATGGATTTGGCAGGAACTTTCTAAACTGCTCATGATCATTGTTCTGACAAAAATATATGTTTTTGCTTTTTCTTTGGCTCTGCCAGGAAACAGCCTTTTACAGGCAATGTAATATAAGCAGCATCTGAGTGTCATCTCTGAGCCGACGTTACTCAGTCTTGCTAAGGTGAGCCAATGTCTGTGGTCACCTGACCATAGACCTACACCCTTCTATCACTCATTTCATCACTCCTTTACTTTCATCTCCACCGCATCCTTCAAAACCTCCCCAATTTCTCCTTTCACAGCCCCTCCCCTTCTCCCTTCACCTTGAGGAATGGCTGGGGGGGGTGGTGATCTCTGCAGATCGCCGAGCAGTGCTTTTGTCCATCATAAGGGCAAGGAAAAGTCCCCAGACTCTCCCTGGAATCCTCTCTGACCCCTGAGTCGGAGACTTCAGTCATTGATTTGTTGGTACTCGCTCACATAGACTACACTACCCTTCAAGCGGCAGTCAAACAGATCCATAGACAGCAGCTCCCAGAGGGGTTGCATGTGTGCATGTTTGTCTAAACATATGTGCATTTTTACTGGATCTATACTTTATGTGCACATATTTTCATGGCGTGCCAAGTGAGAATTAGTAATTTCTCTGAGAACCCCCTCCTCCCTCCTCTCCTCCCTTCTTGATCCATATATGGCAAAGAAACAATTATAACAATGTATGGAAATGTACTTTGACACTTTAACATCAATTGTGAGACGCTGAGGTCAAGCTGTTGTCTCAGTGCACGAGTGGTGCTCTACGCTTAATCCAACTGTGGAGCACTTCACTCCGAAGCTTGGATACATCTACTTATGACTGGTACTTGCATGAAGAACACCTAAAACTGCAGGCTGCGTTTTGTTTGTGAGGAATTGAACATTCGCTGTAAATTGCTGAACACCAATTAGGCAGAAAGCATTAAGTAATGTGGGGCTAAGCAGCCGATAGACCATTTACAACCGGGGCCGGCTGTTCCTCTTCCTCATATAGAGCTCAGAATAAGACTTGGGAGACTGCACATCTTTCTTTGTGCTGTGGCCTTAAATGTCAGCGTTGGCTTTTGTGGACAAGCCGGGCATTTCATCGCTCTCCTGCCATTAAAGCCGGGCATCGCTCTATAAATAAATCTAGTGGCCTGCATCCCTGATGAGCAAGCTAATTGACACTGT